GATTGTTACATCTTTCTTCTGCTGACTGGATGGTGAGTTTGGACCTCTGACCTTTAGCTTAGCAGCCACGTGCCTTATTAAAATGCAAATTTTAGTTTAGGAATGTTGATTTTAGTAGCTTTTCAAACATCTTATAGATTACAATAAATACTTTATAATTATATTTCAGTTATCACCAAGAATGAAAGAAAACCCATACATTATTGAATAGTTCTGTTGTTGTTAAGTGCCGTCAAGTTGATTTCGACTCATAGTAACCTCATGCACAACAGAACTTAACATTGCTTGGTGCTGGGCCAACCTCACGATGCTATGTTTGAGCCCATTGTTGACACCACTGTGTCAATCCATCTTGTTGAGGGTCTTCCTCTTTTTCACTGACCTTCTAGTTTATTAAGCATGATGTCCTGTTCCAGGGTCTGGTCTCTCCTGGTGATGGAGTGGATAAGGCACTTGGCTACTAACCAGAAGGCCAGCAGTTCAAACCCACCAGTCACTTGGCTGAAGGAAGATAGGGGGATCTACTTACGTAAAGATTTACAACATTGGAAACCCAATGGGGCTGCTATGAGTTGGAATCGACCCAATGGTAGTGAATTTGGTTTTTGGTTTTTTTGGTCCCTCATGATAACATGACCAAAGTGTGAGAGGTGAAATCTCACCATCCTCATGTCTAAGGAGCATTCCAGCTGTACTTCTTTGAAGACAGATTTATTTGTTCTTCTGGCAGTCTACGGCACATTCAATATTCTTTGCCAGCACCATAATTTAAATGCTTCAGTTCTACTTTGGTCTTCCTTATTTATTCATTTTTTCAGATTACACATGCATAGCAGGCTACTTGGGTCAGGTGCACCATATTCTTCAAAGTGACAACTTTGCTCTTTAACACTTTAAAGAAGTCTTTTGAAGCAGATGTGTTCAATGCGATACACTGATTTTTTTTTTGACTTCTGCTTCCATGGGCGTTGATTGTGAACCCAAATGATATAAAATCATTGACATCTTCAATCTTTTCTCCATTTTCATGATGTTGCTTATTGGCTCAGTTGTGAGGATTTTTTTTTTTTTTTTTTTGAGGTGTAATCCAAACTGAAGGCTGTAGTTTTTGATTTTCATCAGTAAGTGTTTCAAGTCATCTTCACTTTCAGTAAGCAGGGTTGTGTCAACTATATATCCCGGGTTGTTAATAAGCTGCATCAATCCTGATATCTTTTCTTCTTCATATAGTCCAGCTTGTCTTTGCTTAGCATGCAGATAGAGTAAGTATGGGGAAAGGATACAGCCTTGATGCACACCTTTCCTGGTTTTAAACCATGTAGTATCCTCTTGTTCTGTTTAAATAACTGCCTCTTCATCTAAGTACAGTTTCCTCATGACCACAATTAAACATTCTGGTATTCTCATTCTTTATAAGATTATCCATAATTTGTTATGGTCCACAGTTGAATGCCTTTACATATTAATAAAACACAGGCAAACATCTTTCTGGTATTCTTTGCTCTCAGCTAAGATCCATCTGACATCAGCAATGGTACCTCTCATTCCACATCCTCTTCTAAATCTGGCTTGAATGTCTGGTAGTTCCCTGTTGATCTGTTCAACCATTTTTGAATTATTTTCAGCATAATTTTATTTTCATGCAATGTTAATGATATTGTTTGGCATGTCTGCATTCTATTGGATCACCTTTCTTTGGAACAGGCTCAACTATGGATCTCTTCTAGTCATTTGGCCAAGTAGCTGTCTTCTAAATTTCTTGGCAAAAATGAGTGAGCACCTCCAGTGTTGCATCCATTTGTTGAAACATCTCAATGGGTATTCTGTCAATTCCTGTTTTTTGCCAATTCCTTTGCATCAATAACATCAGTTGTTGACCATCTGGTACTTCTGAAATGGCTCAACATTGACTGATTCTTTTTAATATAGTGACTCTGTGTATTCCTTCCATCTTCTTTTGATTCTTCCTGCATCATTCAATATTTTGCAAATAGAATCCTTCAATATCCCAACTTGAGGCTCAAATTTTTTGTTCAGTTCTTTCAGCTTGAGCAGTGCCAAGTGTGTACTTCCTTTTGGTTTCTAACTCAAGGTCTTGCACATTCATTATAATACTTTACTTTGTCTTCTTAAGCCACTCTTTGAAATCTGTTCAGATCATTTACTTTATCATTTCTTCTATTTATTTTAGCTACTTTCCTTTTAAAAGCAAGTTTCAGAGTCTCATCTGACATCCATTTTGGTATTATCTTCCATTCCTGAATTTTTAATGACCTTTTGCTTTCTTCATGTATGATGTTCTTGATGTCATGTCACAACTCGTCTGTGTTTTGGTCATTTGTGTTCAATGTATCAAGTCTATTCTTCAGATGGTCTCTAAATTCAGATAGGGTATACTC